GCTGCAGTGCTGTGTCTGTACTTTATGCTCATAAACTACAGACAGTAATGCGCTGCAGTGCGTGTGTCTGTACCTTATGCTCATAAACTACAGACAGTAATGCGCTGCAGTGCGTGTGTCTGTACTTTATGCTCATAAACTACAGACAGTAATGCGCTGCAGTGCTGTGTCTATACTTTATGCTCATAAACTACAGACAGTAATGCGCTGCAGTGCTGTGTCTGTACTTTATGCTCATAAACTACAGACAGTAATGCGCTGCAGTGCTGTGTCTATACTTTATGTCAAATGTAAACGGTGTAAACTTTGTCGCTAACTCACCCTGTGTTTTCATCACGACTCGGGCACATGTGAAAAGCACCAGCTCACACAGCGCCGCACCTCAACACAGAGTCGGGGTGCGTTCACAGACGGTGGAAACCGTAGGAATTTTTAGATTTTAGCGGAAAAAGTGCCAGAATACAGGAGGGAGGAACTTTCTCTCGTTGGGTTTCAAAAGAGAAAACAGATTCCAATGTTCACAGTGATGTCTGCCGTTCATGACACATAAAATGAACTAATTCACGTTCAAGTTCTTTTTTTAAAAATGTGTTGCGTTCAGTTCAACGTTCACAAAAAAATGAGCGTGTTCAATGAACGCGTTCTTTTGAACTCGTTCACGCACAACACTGTCCTGTGGTGAGGTCCTAAAAGTAGCCCTGAACCCTATACAACCCTAACTAGAAGCAGAGATAAGCTGTTTGTCCCCTCCCTCTCCACACTGCTCTCTGATTGGTCCCTTCCTCTCCACACTGCTCTCTGATTGGTCCCTTCCTCTCCACACTGCTCTCTGATTGGTCCCTCCTCTCCACGCTGTTCTCTGATTGGCTGTCTCTCTTCCAGGCGCTCCCTGGTCCTCTTAAACATGGCAAAGAGTAAGAAGGCGCTGGTCGTGCCTGCGTTTGAGACGCTCAGATACAGACTGTCGTTTCCCAAATCCAAAGCAGAACTTCTGTCTCAGCTCGACATGGGCACGCTCTTCACCTTCAGGTAGGCCCCTCCTCCTCCTCATGTCCTCGTACTGACTCACACATCAGCATTAGCATTTGCATTAGCACAACTCTCTTTAATGCACTCCTCATGACGCTCTTCTCCTCTGCTCTGATTGGCCGCAGGTACCATGTTTGGACTAAAGGCCACGCCCCCACAGACTTTGCCAAATGGCGGACCTCCACCACGCCGTACGCCGTCCAGTGGCAGCCGGACTTTGAACCTTACGTCATGGTTCCATCAAACTGCCCCCAGTACGACCGCCGCTTTGTGGGCTTCGGCTGGAACAAGGTCTCCCACATCATGGAGCTGGACGCCCAGGCGAGTATGACCCCTGACCCTCACCCTAACCCTCACCCTTACCCTCACTCACCCTGTAAAGGTTTTCCTTAAACACAAAACTTTTTGTTGGTGGAAATGAACAATTCTGACCTCAGTCCATAGAGACGACCTCTGACCTCAGTCAATAGAGACGACCTCTGACCTCAGTCAATAGAGACTACCTCTGACCTCAGTCAATAGAGACGACCTCTGACCTCAATCCATAGACGACCTCTGACCTCAGTCCATAGACTACCTCTGACCTCAGTCAATAGACAGCCTCTGACCTCAGTCCATAGACAACCTCTGACCTCAGTCTAGAGACAACCTCTGACCTCAGTCCATAGACAACCTCTGATCTCAGTCTAGAGACAACCTCTGATCTCAGTCTAGAGACGACCTCTGACCTCAGTCTAGAGACGACCTCTGACCTCAGTCCATAGACAACCTCTGACCATAGATATGACCTCTGACCTCAGTCCAGATTCAGATTCAGTTTATTTGCCATTTGCAGTAAAAAAACCACATTGGAATACATTAGCAAAAGTCTCCAGTGTGCACAGACAAATACAGACATAAAACATTAAAAGACAAAAATAAAGCAAATAAAATTGATCGACTAAAACAGTTTCAAAACAAGTGCAAATCATTAAAGTCCATAGACAACCTCTGACCTCAGTCCATAGACAGCCTCTGACCTCAGTCCATAGACAGCCTCTGACCTCAGTCCATAGACAGCCTCTGACCTCAGTCCATAGACAACCTCTGACCTCAGTCTAGAGACAACCTCTGACCTCAGTCTAGAGACAACCTCTGACCTCAGTCCATAGACAGCCTCTGACCTCAGTCTAGAGACAGCCTCTGACCTCAGTCCATAGACAGCCTCTGACCTCAGTCCATAGACAGCCTCTGACCTCAGTCCATAGACAGCCTCTGACCTCAGTCCATAGACAACCTCTGACCTCAGTCTAGAGACGACCTCTGACCTCAGTCCATAGACTACTTCTGACCTCAGTCTAGAGACGACCTCTGACCTCAGTCCATAGACGACCTCTGACCTCAGTCCATAGACTACCTCTGACCTCAGTCAATAGACAGCCTCTGACCTCAGTCTAGAGACAACCTCTGACCTCAGTCCATAGACAACCTCTGACCTCAGTCTAGAGACAACCTCTGACCTCAGTCCATAGACGACCTCTGACCTCAGTCGATAGACTACCTCTGACCTCAGTCAATAGACAGCCTCTGACCTCAGTCTAGAGACAACCTCTGACCTCAGTCCATAGACAACCTCTGACCTCAGTCCATAGACTACTTCTGACCTCAGTCTAGAGACGACCTCTGACCTCAATCCATAGACTACTTCTGACCTCAGTCTAGAGACGACCTCTGACCTCAGTCCATAGACGACCTCTGACCTCAGTCCATAGACAGCCTCTGACCTCAGTCTAGAGACAACCTCTGACCTCAGTCCATAGACAGCCTCTGACCTCAGTCCATAGACAACCTCTGACCTCAGTCTAGAGACGACCTCTGACCTCAGTCCATAGACTACTTCTGACCTCAGTCTAGAGACAACCTCTGACCTCAGTCCATAGACTACTTCTGACCTCAGTCTAGAGACGACCTCTGACCTCAATCCATAGACGACCTCTGACCTCAGTCCATAGACTACCTCTGACCTCAGTCAATAGACAGCCTCTGACCTCAGTCCATAGACAACCTCTGACCTCAGTCTAGAGACAACCTCTGACCTCAGTCTAGAGACGACCTCTGACCTCAGTCTAGAGACGACCTCTGACCTCAGTCCATAGACAACCTCTGACCATAGATATGACCTCTGACCTCAGTCCAGATTCAGATTCAGTTTATTTGCCATTTGCAGTAAAAAAACCACATTGGAATACATTAGCAAAAGTCTCCAGTGTGCACAGACAAATACAGACATAAAACATTAAAAGACAAAAATAAAGCAAATAAAATTGATCGACTAAAACAGTTTCAAAACAAGTGCAAATCATTAAAGTCCATAGACAACCTCTGACCTCAGTCCATAGAGATGACCTCTGACCTCAGTCCATATACGACCTCTGACCTCAGTCCATATACGACCTCTGACCTCAGTCTAGAGACGACCTCTGACCTCAGTCCAGAGACAACCTCTGACCTCAGTCCATAGACAACCTCTGACCTCAGTCCATAGACGACCTCTGACCTCAGTCCATAGACGACCTCTGACCTCAGTCCATAGACAGCCTCTGACCTCAGTCCATAGACAGCCTCTGACCTCAGTCCAGAGACGACCTCTGACCTCAGTCCAGAGACGACCTCTGACCTCAGTCCAGAGACGACCTCTGACCTCAGTCCAGAGACGACCTCTGACCTCAGTCCAGAGACGACCTCTGACCTCAGTCCAGAGACGACCTCTGACCTCAGTCCATAGACGACCTCTGACCTCAGTCCATAGAGATGACCTCTGACCTCAGTCCATAGAGATGACCTCTGACCTCAGTCCATAGAGATGACCTCTGACCTCAGTCCATAGAGATGACCTCTGACCTCAGTCCATAGAGATGACCTCTGACCTCAGTCCATAGAGATGACCTCTGACCTCAGTCCATAGAGACGACCTCTGACCTCAGTCCATAGAAGACCTCATGAGCTTGAGGTGCTGCCTTCATGTGTGACCTCTGACCTTTGCAGGAGTATGAGTTTGTGGTGCTGCCGAACGCCTTCATGATCCACATGCCGCACGCGCCCAGTTTCGACATCACCAAGTTCCGCTCGAACAAACAGTATCGCTCGTGTCTGCAGACGCTGAAGGAGGAGTTCCAGCAGAACATGTCGCGCCGCTTTGGCTTTGCGGCGCTCAAGTACATGACGGTGGACAACAGCTAGCACTGGCTAACGAAGGCTAAGAAGGGCCAACAAGGGCCAACTCGAGCTAACGAGGCTAACAGTCATGGCGGAGAAAACCACTATTTTGGACTCAACTGAGAAACAGTGTTAAACTACGGTCCACATTTGGATCTGACTTTGGACTCAGCGTGACCCTTGACCTCAACGCCGGTGTAGGACACTTTTCTTCAGTCTGGGATGGTGTCGAGGGTCAGACCCTGTTCCCTCTGGTTTAAACTGTGAATTTATTGATTTTATTTATTTGTTTTTTGTGTCAAACTTATTGATGTTAGAGTTAAACCCAGCTCTTTATTTAAACAGGAAATACACTTTACATGTTTTAGTGTTAGCACCGCCATGACACATTCATGGAGCAAGTACAAAGTGGTCTGGGTGAGAATTCATCAGTGATTGGACGGAAGAGTCCAGTGAGGGTTATGGCTCATACTGGTCTCATGTGGAGAAGATATTTTCTGAAACAATAAATACAAAAGAACTGATATGGAAAAGTTTATTCAGACCATAAACTCTGAGCACTCAGCCTCACAGCAAGTAAGGCACGTTTGTAAAGCACCATTCATCCACGAGGCACAGACAGTTCTGTGGGTTCTGTGAGCAGTTTCATGGTCCAGGAGAAACCCCAGACACAGGGAGAACATGCAAACGGCACACAGTGAAGCCCGGGCCGGCACGGGAATGGAACCACGCCCATGGAATGTGGGGGGGGGGGGTCCTTACATTGGGGGTGGTCCTCAGGCCAGTGGCAGCTCGTGGAAGGCTGCGTACTTCCCGGTCACATGACGATAGAGCTGCAGACACAGTGTGGAGGATTTATTTGATTGGAACAGAATGTAGAGCAGGGAACCCTAACCCTCAGGACCATGTGACCCGGGTTCAGGACCATGTGACCCAAGCCACGCCCTGATGCAAACACCAGGCCAAAGGCTTTTCACCACAAGAGACAACCAGGACAGAAGTAAACAGACTAAACACACATAGTCCTGAGTGTCTGGTACCTGGTCCTTATATAGCCACATGGTTCTGGTACTTGGGATTTATATAGTCACATGGTTCTGGTACCTGGTCCTTATATAGCCACATGGTTCTGGTACCTGGTGTTTATATAGCAACATGGTTCTGGTACCTTGGTCCTATATAGTCACATGGTTCTGGTACCTGTCTCTCGATATCGGCCAATAAGCTGCTGGCACCGATGCGGAACAGTTCCGGAGTGATCCAGGCTCCGCCCAGTTCCTCCTTCACCAGAACCAGCCACAAGAGGGCGTCGTCTGCAGTGCGTATGCCCCCAGCTGGTTTGAACCCCACCTGCAGGACACCGGCGGTATTACACCAACACACTGACTCACAACAAGAGGGTCCCACAGAGACTGCTGCAGGGTTAGTTTACAGTCTGATAATTATGTTTTTTAAAGGGGGCGGGGCCAACCTTGTGTCCAGTGATGATGTAATAGTCTCTAATGGCGCGGCTCATCACCACGGCGACAGGGATGGTGGCGTTTACCGGCTCTTTTCCGGTCGACGTCTTTATGAAGTCAGAACCTGAGGAGAGACTGGTTTAAACTGGTTCAGACTGGTTCAGACCAGTTCAGACGGTTCAGAGAGCTGGCTCACCTGCCATCATGCAGACCAGGCTGGCTCGGTAGACGCTGGTGAAGGTGCCCAGTTCCCCCACAGCGAGGATGGCCTTCATGTGAGCGTGTGCACAGGCCTCTCGGAACTGAACCAACTCCTGGTACAAGGCTGAGGAGAGAGAGTTTGCTCACAGCAAGAGGGTCCCCACAGAGACACACATTGTTTCTGTTTTAGGACTTTAAGCTATTAAGTCTGAAAGTTGTTTTTTTTTTTTTTTTTTTACATATAACATTATCCATGACGTCAAAACCCGAGGTCAGGGGTCTTCAAAGGGCTGTGGCGGCAGGTTTTCATTCCAACAGTCAGTCCAGGACCATGTTAAAGACCCCCACCCCAAATACCATTAAGTACAAGTCAGCGTGTGTTAGCGTTAGCATGATACCTTCCCACTGCTCCCCCAGAGCCAGCGTCCTGTTGATCACGATGTCGATCTCTGTGGCGCCGTCGGCCACCGCCAGGCGCACCTCGTCCAGACGCACAGAGAGCGGCGTCTGCCCCGCGGGGAAACCGGTCGCAACTGCAGAGGACACAGTCAAGATGAAGACCCGTCAGTGGTAGCAGTAGCATTAGCATTAGCATTTGCAGTAGCAGCAGTACCTGAGGCCACAGGAAGGGTGGAATTTGCTTCTCTTAGAGTTTTCACTGCGTCACAAACTCTGGACGGATAAACGCAGACGGCGCCGGTGGTCACTGTGGGGGGGGGCAGAGGGAGGGGCATCGTTTTCATTAGTGATTACATACTCTCTGAACCGCTTAAAGGAGCTAGATCACCCCTGGCCTGGACTCATGGGCTGCACCCTGTCCCAGATCTACAGCCTCGGTCCTGGGTCTACAGCCTCGGTCCTGGGTCTACAGCCTCGGTCCTGGGTCTACAGCCTCGGTCCTGGGTCTACAGCTTTGCCAATGGATTAACATTTCCGTGTTTGATTTGATTCTCTGATCTGTTGTTGGTGAATCCACAACTTTGTAGAGTCCAGAGAAAAGTATTTATCTGAACACCATACTCTAACATCAGGTACTGAAGGTGGTCTTCTGATTGGTCAGTACCTGGACAATCCTCTGATTGGTCGGTACCTGGACAGTCCTCTCTGATTGGTCGGTACCTGGACAGTCCTCTCTGATTGGTCGGTACCTGGACAGTCCTCTCTGATTGGTCGGTACCTGGACAGTCCATGTGCAGCTGCTGAAGGAGGTCCTCTCTGATTGGCTGCAGGGCCTTCAGACACAGACGGTGGACGTTGGACTGAGTGTCGTCTCCGGACAGAGTGGTGAGGTCAATGCAGGAGAGCGCTTTGAGGAGCCAGGCGGCCTATCAGGGACGAGAGGGGTAAGAGAGAGCCAATCAGAGAGGAGAGGGGTCAGAGAAAGCCAATCAGAGAGGAGAGGGGTCAGAGAGAGCCAATCAGAGAGGAGAGGGGTCAGAGAGAGCCAATCAGAGAGGAGAGGAGAGTGGTCAAAGAGAGCCAATCAGAGAGGAGAGGAGAGTGGTCAGAGAGACAGTATACATAGGTCCAGTTCTCACCTTCCACTGGTCCTTTGGAAGCCTGATGCCCTGAATCTGCTGCGCTCTCCTCAGAACAGCCTGAGTGTTCACACGGGTCCTGGAAACCCACTCCAGGTCTGGAACAATAATAATAATAATAATAATAATAATAAATACTGTTGTACATGGTCATGAACGGACCTTAACTTTGCCAATCACCCATGGGACGCTACGCACCACTTACTCTGGTCCCTGATTGGCTCTCTCTCTATGATCCTGTACTTATGACCCTGTCCCTATGACCATGTCCCTATGACCCTGTCCCTATGACCCTGTCCCTATGACCCTGTACCCTGTCCCTATGACCCTGTCCCTATGACCCTGTACCCTGTCCCTATGACCCTGTCCCTATGACCCTGTACCCTGTCCCTATGACCCTGTCCCTATGACCCTGTACCTATGACCCTGTCCCTATGACCCTGTCCCTATGACCCTGTCCCTATGACCCTGTACCTATGACCCTGTACCTATGTCCCTGGTGCACATGACACAAAATCACGTGAAAACATCTGTACTAAATGTCACAATGGGTTAAGAACCAGTGTGAAGTTCCATTTAAGCCTAAAACTAAACACACACACATAAGCACGCGCGCACACACACACATAAACACACGCACGCGCGCACACACACATAAACACATGTGAAGCAGGAGCCTGGGACTCACCGAGCCTGGTCCCAGGATTCCGCTCTAACATCTGGATTTTGTTCGTGATCCGGGTCTGAACCTAAACTGGTCTAGTCTAGGCCTGAACCTAAACCCTGAAGTAGGTCTAGTTCTGGTCTGAGTCTCGGATCTAAAGCATGGACTGTAGTCCATTAGTCTAAAGTCGACTCTCGTGACACTGTTTTCTTTGATTTCAGACTAAAGGCAGAGAAAACACACTGCTGCCCCCTGCTGGTTACACCGTTCAATCACAACAGAGGAGAGAGGACATAGGACAGAGGAGATAGGACAGAGGAGATAGGACAGAGGAGAGAGGACAGAGGACAGAGGAGATAGGACAGAGGAGAGAGGACAGAGGAGGGTTAGGATGAAGTTAGTATTTATCTATTTTATATGAATGTGATGTGTGTTTTTTCTGTCTGTCTGCAGGAGGAGTAGGTCTGTCTGCAGGAGGAGTAGGTCTGTCTGCAGGAGGAGTAGGTCTGTCTGCAGGAGGAGTAGGTCTGTCTGCAGAAGGAGTAGGTCTGTCTGCAGAAGGAGTAGGTCTGTCTGCAGGAGGTGTAGGTCTGTCTGCAGGAGGAGTAGGTCTGTCTGCAGAAGGAGTAGGTCTGTCTGCAGAAGGAGTAGGTCTGTCTGCAGGAGGTGTAGGTCTGTCTGCAGGAGGAGTAGGTCTGTCTGCAGGAGGAGTAGGTCTGTCTGCAGAAGGAGTAGGTCTGTCTGCAGAAGGAGTAGGTCTGTCTGCAGGAGGTGTAGGTCTGTCTGCAGGAGGAGTAGGTCTGTCTGCAGGAGGAGTAGGTCTGTCTGCAGGAGTAGATCTGTCTGCAGGAGGAGTAGGTCTGTGCAGGACGTGTAGGTCTGTCTGCAGGAGGTGTAGGTCTGTCTGCAGAAGGAGTAGGTCTGTCTGCAGGAGGTGTAGGTCTGTCTGCAGGAGGAGTAGGTCTGTCTGCAGGAGTAGGTCTGTCTGCAGGAGGAGTAGGTCTGTCTGCAGGAGTAGATCTGTCTGCAGGAGGAGTAGGTCTGTCTGCAGGAGGTGTAGGTCTGTCTGCAGGAGGAGTAGGTCTGTCTGCAGGAGTAGATCTGTCTGCAGGAGGAGTAGGTCTGTGCAGGAGGAGTAGGTCTGTCTGCAGGAGTAGGTCTGTCTGCAGGAGGAGTAGGTCTCTGCAGGAGGAGTAGGTCTGTCTGCAGGAGGAGTAGGTCTCTGCAGGAGGAGTAGGTCTGTCTGCAGGAGTAGGTCTGTCTGCAGGAGGAGTAGGTCTGTCTGCAGAAGGAGTAGGTCTGTCTGCAGGAGGAGTAGGTCTGTGCAGGAGGAGTAGGTCTGTCTGCAGGAGTAGGTCTGTGCAGGACGTGTAGGTCTGTCTGCAGAAGGAGTAGGTCTGTCTGCAGAAGGTGTAGGTCTGTCTGCAGGAGGAGTAGGTCTGTCTGCAGGAGGAGTAGGTCTGTGCAGGAGGGTAGGTCTGTCTGCAGGAGGAGTAGGTCTGTCTGCAGGAGGTGTAGGTCTGTCTGCAGGAGGAGTAGGTCTGTCTGCAGGAGGAGTAGGTCTGTCTGCAGGAGGAGTAGGTCTGTCTGCAGGAGGAGTAGGTCTGTCTGCAGGAGGAGTAGGTCTGTCTGCAGGAGGTGTAAGGTCTGTCTGCAGGAGGAGTAGGTCTGTCTGCAGGAGGAGTAGGTCTGTCTGCAGGAGGAGTAGGTCTGTCTGCAGGAGGAGTAGGTCTGTCTGCAGGAGGAGTAGGTCTGTCTGCAGGAGGAGTAGGTCTGTCTGCAGGAGGAGTAGGTCTGTCTGCAGGAGGAGTAGGGTCTGCAGGAGGAGTAGGTCTGTCTGCAGGAGGAGTAGGTCTGTCTGCAGGAGGAGTAGGTCTGTCTGCAGGAGGAGTAGGTCTGTCTGCAGGAGGGTAGGTCTGTCTGCAGGAGTAGGTCTGTCTGCAGGAGGAGTAGGTCTGTCTGCAGGAGGAGTAGGTCTGTCTGCAGGAGGAGAGGAGGTGCTGTCGTTGCACCACATGTCCAGTAGGCGGTGTTCTCCTCTTTATTATCCGGGGTCACGGAGGGAGACCATGTGTGAGATGTTTTCTGGTATTTAACGTGACTCGCTAAAAATACTGTGTTCCATGTCCTCCACTAGATGGCGCCATCGAGAACATAACCACACTTCTTATGGCAAGTGTTAGACCTGCTGGGACCATCAGGGACCAGCAAGCACCAGCAGGGACCAGCAGAGACCATCAGGGACCAGCAGGCACCAGCAGGGAGCAGCAGGGACCAGGAGGCACCAGCAGGCACCAACAAGCACCATCAGGGACCAGCAGGCACCAGCAGGCACCATCAGGGACCAGCAGGCACCATCAGGGACCAGCAGGGACCATCAGGCACTAGCAGGCACCAGCAGGGACCATCAGGCTCCAGCAGCGACCATCAGGCACCAGCAGGGACCAGCAGGCACCAGCAGGGACCATCAGGGACCATCAGGCACCAGCAGGGACCAGCAGGCACCAGCAGGGACCATCAGGCACCAGCAGGGACCAGCAGGGACCATCAGGGACCAGCAGAGATCCCGCTGAGGTGGTTCCTGGTCCCTGTAATCTGGATTATTTGCGGATGTGAATGTGAGGGGTCAGTGTTTGGTCAGGAGCACCTCGGACCATAATCTGAGTAACAGAGCACAGTGAGACCAGGCAGGTTTATCTGTATAGCACAGGTCCTACTCAAGATAAACACACAAAGAACTCACATCATGAATAATCTCAGTTCAGCAAAAAGATCAAATCCTTCAGTTGCAGAAACATTTGTTTTTAACCTGGATTTAAACGTTGACAGAGAAGACGTCTGTCTCACATTTTCAGGAATATTGTTCTTGGTTTTAGAATCTGAAACCCTGCATCCACATATCTAGTCCTGACTCTGGGACCAGCAGGAGGCCAGTCCCTGTGCTCCTCAGAGTCCCAGCAGGAGGCCAGTCCCTGTGCTCCTCAGAGTCCCAGCAGGAGGCCAGTCCCTGTGCTCCTCAGAGTCCCAGCAGGAGGCCAGTCCCTGTGCTCCTCAGAGTCCCAGCAGGAGGCCAGTCCCTGTGCTCCTCAGAGTCCCAGCAGGAGGCCAGTCCCTGTGCTCCTCAGAGTCCCAGCAGGAGGCCAGTCCCTGTGCTCCTCAGAGTCCCAGCAGGAGGCCAGTCCCTGTGCTCCTCAAAGTCCCAGCAGGAGGCAGTCCCTGTGCTCCTCAGAGTCCCAGCAGGAGGCCAGTCCCTGTGCTCCTCAGAGTCCCAGCAGGAGTCCAGTCCCTGTGCTCCTCAGAGTCCCAGCAGGAGTCCAGTCCCTGTGCTCCTCAGAGTCCCAGCAGGAGTCCAGTCCCTGTGCTCCTCAGAGTCCCAGCAGGAGGCCAGTCCCTGTGCTCCTCAGAGTCCCAGAAGGAGTCCAGTCCCTGTGCTCCTCAGAGTCCCAGCAGGAGGCCAGTCCCTGTGCTGAGTTGGTTCATGTGGCACTAACATGTCACAGATGTACTTTGGTGTGAGGTCATGGAGAGACACAGGTACCAGTCCCTCTTGGTCCTGGTTCTATCCAGGCCCAAGCTGGTACTAAAGTGTTCTGACAGTGAAGCCATGGTTACCAAGGAATTTCCCCGGGTACAGGTTTGTTGTAGTTAGTTTGCTAGGATACAGTACCAGATACTAAAGCATAATGGAAACACAGGTAGAGCCGAGCCAAGCCGGGCCAGTGCGGTGGAAACAGGGCTCCAGGCCCTGCTCATGAACACACTGGAGCAGGCGTGTCAGGTTTCCTTCTGTCGCCGCGAGAGCCTCAGTTACAGCCGCTGCTCACAACATGACCCTCAGAGCCTCTCTTCGAACTCTGCCCAAAACATCCTCTTTCCTCCTTCATCCTCACGGTAAGAACTTAGACCTCACTCACGTGTTCACGAGACAGACACATACTGGTGTTGGACCTGTATATATAACTTGTGTATATATATATATATATATATATATATATATATATATATATATATATATATACTATACACAGTACATGTAGTGTGTGGATAGAGTCAGTAAACTGTGTTGTCTCCTCTCTCTGATGTACTCTGAGCTCATACATCATTAACTGGACCCAACACTGACTCTGAAACCACCAGAACCAAAACACGTGGAACTTTGAAGAAATGAGAAAAAAACATTAGTTTTAAACCAGTTTAATTAAAGTATTTCATTTAAAGGTGTTTAATACGTGATAAAACTGATACAACTGGTGAATACAGAAGGAAACATGGAGCTGTAAAAACAGTTCAAATGCTAAAGGCTAACTGCTAATAGTAAACAGTGTGTTGCTATGGTAACACAGCAAACAAGCTGAGTCAGATCAGAACCAGGACCAGTCCGGGACCAGCCCAGGACCAGCCCAGGACCAGCTGTTGTTTGCTAAGCGACCACCTGTCGTCTCCCTCTCACTCCAGTCTCAGTCCTCTCTCAGCCCAGTCTCACTCTAGTCTCAGTCCAGTCCCAGACTATTTACTCGCAGCAGAACAAACCTGAGACTAATGTGGGAACGACAAACACCACTTTTCCTCGGAGCGAAGACCCGTTATTACCGCAAGGCCTGAAGGCCACTCAGGGCTGGGACCATCACAGCACAAAGCCTGTGTTGGCTGTAACCATGTGAACGTCAGGAGTGTGTACCATGTGAACGTCAGGAGAGAAGTGTGTACCATGTGCCGTGTACATAGAGTCAAACAAATGAAATGTGTTTTTCAGGTCAACTAAAGATCTGCCTCGGCCTCAGACACGGGTCACTGTCGGTCTGCGGTGAGTCACGGTCTGACTATAATACAGTACTTTAACTCTCTCTGGTCTCTCTCTGGTCTCTCTCTCTGGTCTCTCTCTGGTCTCTCTCTGGTCTCTCCCTGGTCTCTCTCTGGTCTCTCTCTGGTCCTCTGCCTGGTCTCCCTGTTCTCTCTCTGGTCTCCTCTCGCTCTGGTCTCCTCTCCCTGGTCTCTCTCTCTCTCTGGTCTCCTCTCTCTCTGTCTCCTCTCGCTCTGGTCTCCTCTCGCTCTGGTCTCTCTCTCTGGTCTCCTCTCGCTCTGTCTCCTCTCCTCTGGTCTCTCTCTCGCTCTGGTCTCTCTCTCGCTCTGGTCTCCTCTCGCTCTGGTCTCTCCCTGGTCTCACTCCTGTCTCCTCTCTCTCTGGTCTCCTCTCGCTCCTGTCTCCTCTCGCTCTGGTCTCCTCTCGCTCTGGTCTCCTCTCCTCCTGTCTCTCTCTCGCTCTGGTCTCCCTCTCGCTCTGGTCTCCTCTCGCTCTGGTCTCCTCTCGCTCTGGTCTCCTCTCGCTCTGGTCTCCTCTCGCTCTGGTCTCCTCTCGCTCCTGGTCTCCTCTCGCTCTGGTCTCCTCTCGCTCTGGTCTCCTCTCGCTCTGTCTCTCTCGCTCTGGTCTCTCTCGCTCTGGTCTCCTCTCACTCTGGTCTCCTCTCCTCTGGTCCTGTCTCTGTCTCCTCTCGCTCCTGTCTCCTCTCGCTCTGGTCTCCTCTCGCTCTGGTCTCCTCTCACTCCTGTCTCCTCTCGCTCTGGTCTCCCTCTCGCTCCTGTCTCCTCTCGCTCTGGTCTCCTCTCGCTCTGGTCTCCTCTCACTCCTGTCTCCTCTCGCTCTGGTCTCCTCTCGCTCTGGTCTCCTCTCGCTCTGGTCTCCTCTCGCTCTGGTCTCCTCTCGCTCTGGTCTCCTCTCACTCCTGTCTCCTCTCGTTCTAGTCTCCTCTCACTCCTGTCTCCTCTCGCTCTGGTCTCCTCTCACTCCTGTCTCCTCTCGCTCTAGTCTCCTCTCGCTCCGGTCTCCTCTCGCTCCGGTCTCCTCTCACTCCTGTCTCCTCTCGCTCTGGTCTCCTCTCGCTCTTGTCTCCTCTCGCTCTGGTCTCCTCTTGCTCTGGTCTCCTCTCACTCCTGTCTCCTCTCGCTCTGGTCTCCTCTCGCTCTGGTCTCCTCTCGCTCTGGTCTCCTCTCGCTCTGGTCTCCTCTCACTCCTGTCTCCTCTCGCTCCTGTCTCCTCTCACTCCTGTCTCCTCTCGCTCTGGTCTCCTCTCGCTCTGGTCTCCTCTCACTCCTGTCTCCTCTCACTCTGGTCTCCTCTCACTCCTGTCTCCTCTCGCTCCTGTCTCCTCTCACTCCTGTCTCCTCTCACTCCTGTCTCCTCTCGCTCTGGTCTCCTCTCGCTCTGGTCTCCTCTCACTCCTGTCTCCTCTCGCTCTGGTCTCCTCTCGCTCTGGTCTCCTCTCACTCCTGTCTCCTCTCGCTCCTGTCTCCTCTCGCTCCTGTCTCCTCTCGCTCCTGTCTCCTCTCACTCCTGTCTCCTCTCGCTCCTGTCTCCTCTCGCTCTGGTCTCCTCTCGCTCTGGTCTCCTCTCACTCCTGTCTCCTCTCGCTCCTGTCTCCTCTCGCTCCTGTCTCCTCTCGCTCTGGTCTCCTCTCGCTCTGGTCTCCTCTCGCTCTGGTCTCCTCTCGCTCTGGTCTCCTCTCGCTCTGGTCTCCTCTCGCTCTGGTCTCCTCTCGCTCCTGTCTCCTCTCGTTCTAGTCTCCTCTCACTCCTGTCTCCTCTCGCTCTGGTCTCCTCTCGCTCTGGTCTCCTCTCACTCCTGTCTCCTCTCGCTCTGGTTTCCCCCTCGCTCTGGTCTCCTCTCGCTCTGGTTTCCCCCTCGCTCTGGTCTCCTCTCGCTCTGGTCTCCTCTCGCTCTGGTCTCCTCTCGCTCCTGTCTCCTCTCGCTCTGGTCTCCTCTCGCTCTGGTCTCCTCTCGCTCTGGTCTCCTCTCGCTCTGGTCTCCTCTCGCTCTGGTCTCCTCTCACTCCTGTCTCCTCTCACTCCTGTCTCCTCTCACTCCTGTCTCCTCTCGCTCTGGTCTCCTCTCGCTCTGGTTTCCCCCTCGCTCTAGTCTCCTCTCACTCCTGTCTCCTCTCGCTCTGGTCTCCTCTCGCTCTGGTCTCCTCTCACTCCTGTCTCCTCTCGCTCTGGTGTCCCTCTCACTCCTGTCTCCTCTCGCTCTGGTTTCCCCCTCGCTCTGGTCTCCTCTCGCTCCTGTCTCCTCTCACTCCTGTCTCCTCTCGCTCTGGTCTCCTCTCGCTCTGGTTTCCCCCTCGCTCTGGTCTCCTCTCACTCCTGTCTCCTCTCGCTCTGGTTTCCCCCTCGCTCTGGTCTCCTCTCACTCCTGTCTCCTCTCGCTCTGGTTTCCCCCTCGCTCTGGAGTCCTCTCGCTCTGGTCTCCTCTCGCTCTGGTCTCCTCTCGCTCTGGTCTCCTCTCACTCCTGTCTCCTCTCGCTCTAGTCTCCTCTCGCTCCGGTCTCCTCTCGCTCCGGTCTCCTCTCACTCCTGTCTCCTCTCGCTCTGGTCTCCTCTCGCTCTGGTTTCCCCCTCGCTCTGGTCTCCTCTCACTCCTGTCTCCTCTCGCTCTGGTTTCCTCTCGCTCTGGTCTCCTCTCGCTCTGGTCTCCTCTTGCTCTGGTCTCCTCTCACTCCTGTCTCCTCTCGCTCTAGTCTCCTCTCGCTCCGGTCTCCTCTCGCTCCGGTCTCCTCTCACTCCTGTCTCCTCTCGCTCTGGTCTCCTCTCGCTCTGGTCTCCTCTCGCTCTGGTTTCCCCCTCGCTCTGGTCTCCTCTCACTCCTGTCTCCTCTCGCTCTGGTTTCCTCTCGCTCTGGTCTCCTCTCGCTCTGGTCTCCTCTCGCTCTGGTCTCCTCTCGCTCTGGTCTCCTCTCACTCCGGTCTCCTCTCGCTCCGGTCTCCTCTCGCTCTGGTCTCCTCTCACTCCTGTCTCCTCTCGCTCCTGTCTCCTCTCGCTCTGGTTTCCTCTCGCTCTGGTTTCCTCTCGCTCTGGTCTCCTCTCGCTCTGGTCTCCTCTCGCTCTGGTCTCCTCTCGCTCTGGTCTCCTCTCACTCCTGTCTCCTCTCGCTCTGGTCTCCTCTCGCTCCTGTCTCCTTTCGCTCTAGTCTCCTCTCGCTCTGGTCTCCTCTCACTCCTGTCTCCTCTCGTTCTAGTCTCCTCTCACTCCTGTCTCCTCTCGTTCTAGTCTCCTCTCACTCCTGTCTCCTCTCGCTCTAGTCTCCTCTCGCTCTGGTCTCCTCTCGCTCCTGTCTCCTCTCGTTCTAGTCTCCTCTCGCTCTGGTCTCCTCTCGCTCTGGTCTCCTCTCGCTCTCTCCAAAGACCGAGACCGCCGCAGAGACCGAGACTGCCGCAAAGACCGAAACCGCCGCAGAGGCCGAGACCGCCGCAGAGACCGAGACCGCCGCAGAGACCGAGACCGCCGCAGAGACCGAGACCGCCGCAGAGACCGAGACCGCCGCAGAGACCGAGACCGCCGCAGAGACCGAGACCGCCGCAGAGACCGAGACCGCCGCAGAGACCGAGACCGCCGCAGAGACCGAGACCGCCGCAGAGACCGAGACCGCCGCAGAGACCGAGATCGCCGCAGAGACCGAGACTGCCGCAAAGACCGAGACCGCATCAGTCCGAGACCGAGACCGCACAGCTCCTCAGTCTGGGCCACAAAGGCAGTGCCTCGTTCTGACTTCGAGTCTCTTTTGTTAAATAAACTGAGCGTCTACTCTCACCCAGGTTCTCGATGGTATAGTAGCGTTGCTTGTTGTCCACTCGCACCGTGTGGGCGTAGGGGCTGCCGACGCCGTAGCCAATGATGTAGCCGCGCACTATCACCGCGGGCGACAGGGGCGGAGTCCAGGACATGATGATGCTGTGGGGGAGGGGCCTGACGTGTAGCGAGGACGGCTGGTCTGGCACCGTGGACTCTGCAGAAATATGCAGTAAGAGATGACTAAGACAGAAGAGAGAGACCAGGGAGAGAGACCAGAGAGAGACCAGCGAGAGACCAGAGAGAGAGACCAGCGAGAAACCAGAGAGAGACCAGAGAGAGACCGGAGAGAGACCGGAGGGAGACCGGAGGGAGACCGGAGGGAGACCAGAGAGAGACCAGAGAGAGACCAGAGAAAGAGACCGGAGGGAGAGACCAGAGGGAGAGACCAGAGGGAGAGACCAGAGAGAGACCAGAGAGAGAGACCAGAGAGAGAGACCAGAGAGAGAGACCAGAGAGAGAGACCAGAGAGAGACCACAGAGAGAGACCAGAGAGAGAGACCACAGAGAGAGACCAGAGAGAGACCACAGAGAGAGACCAGAGAGAGAGACCAGAGAGAGAGACCAGAGAGAGAGACCAGAGAGAGACCACAGAGAGAGACCAGAGAGAGAGACCAGAGAGAGAGACCAGAGAGAGACCAGAGAGAGAGACCAGAGAGAGAGACCAGAGAGAGAGACCAGAGAGAGAGACCAGAGAGAGAGACCACAGAGAGAGACCAGAGAGAGACCAGAGAGAGAGACCAGAGAGAGAGACCACAGAGAGAGACCACAGAGAGAGACCAGAGAGAGAGACCAGAGAGAGAGACCAGAGAGAGACCACAGAGAGAGACCAGAGAGAGAGACCAGAGAGAGACCAGAGAGAGAGACCAGAGAGAGACCAGAGAGAGACCACAGAGAGAGACCAGAGAGAGACCAGAGAGAGAGACAGAGAGAGACCAGAGAGAGACCAGAGAGAGAGACCAGAGAGAGAGACCAGAGAGAGAGACCAGAGAGAGACCAGAGAGAGAGACCAGAGAGAGAGACCAGAGAGAGAGACCAGAGAGAGAGACCAGAGAGAGACCAGAGAGAGAGACCAGAGAGAGAGACCAGAGAGAGAGACCAGAGAGAGAGACCAGAGCGAGACCAGAGAGAGACCAGAGAGAGAGACCAGAGAGAGAGACCAGAGAGACCAGAGAGAGAGACCAGAGAGAGAGACCAGAGAGAGAGACCACAGAGAGAGACCAGAGAGAGACCAGAGAGAGAGACCAGAGAGAGAGACCACAGAGAGAGACCAGAGAGAGACCACAGAGAGAGACCAGAGAGAGAGACCAGAGAGAGAGACCACAGAGAGAGACCAGAGAGAGACCAGAGAGAGAGACCAGAGAGAGAGACCAGAGAGAGAGACCAGAGAGAGAGACCAGAGAGAGACCAGAGAGAGAGAGACCAGAGAGAGAGACCAGAGAGAGAGACCACAGAGAGAGACCAGAGAGAGACCAGAGAGAGAGACCAGAGAGAGAGACCAGAGAGAGAGACCAGAGAGAGACCAGAGAGAGAGACCAGAGAGAGAGACCAGAGAGAGAGACCAGAGAGAGACCAGAGAGAGACCAGAGAGAGAGACCTCACCGTCCAAGTCATTCTCTGGAGTTTCGGCTGAAGTCCATTCACTGAACGGGCCGCTGCCGTTCATCGTCATGGCCGCAACCTGCACGCTGTACTGACTGCCTTTATCCAGCCCTGAGAACCATGTGGAGACAACTATGAGAACCATGTGGAGACAACCATGAGAACCATATGGATGCCATTAGAGCTTACTTCCAAACGTAAATGCAATGAGTTTGCACATTTTTTCCATGACAAGGTTCAAGGCATCAAAAACACCATTGTCTCCAATCCACAGATAACCTACCCTGACTCTGGCCAGACTTCACACATGAGTCTGGTACTGAGCCATAGTGGTTGGATTTCAGAAGGCAGGGCCTTGTAAAAAAAATCCTTGTATGTGATTGGATAGACCACTTGTCCGTTATCTTGAATGAAGTCTGCTTTCAGCCACTCACATCGAAGCACACGGCTCCCATAGGTTGCCAAATCCCAGCAAGATTTTCCAACCCAAAATCCGCGAGAAAACCCACAAAAAAAAGACTCAGAATGATTTTTTGGCTAAAAACGTTATGTAATCAACTTGGGCTATCATGATTCTGTTTATTGTCTTTCTGTTTATTTAATACCTACAAGTCTCTGGGAACAAAATATGCGGGAACCACCAAACCTGGCAACCCTGCTGCATAGTGTGTAAACAGGAACACTGAACCAGTGCTTCAACCAAACTTTACAGGAACATTTGACTCTTAAAACACACATATATCAACATAGAACCATCTACACAGAACCATCAACATAGAACCATCAACATAGAACCATCAACATCTCGCCTCAAATAGCATTAAAAGTGACATCCGTGTCTTAATTCAATCGTATTTACTCTTTTAAAAAGATTCGCGGACTTTACGTCTGCCATCTTAGATTCCTCTCGCTGCTGCATGAGAGATGCTTGAGAAGGCAGTGCAAACCCCACGTAACACCGGCAATCCTGATTGGTCGATTAAAAAATAATCTGGGGAAGGCGTTCGCTATGGCGTCGATACCAGACCCATCCTCTGGTGGAGCATGGCGGAACTACAAGGGTCTGGCAGAGCCAGGCTACAGATAACAATCCAACAGCTAGAAAGGCTCTCTGAGCTAACTCACTTTGCACCTGTAAATGATCAAACTGTCCAAGAGATAATCTCCAGTTTGAGCTCCTCCACATGCAGCCTGGATGTACTACCCACTAGATTTCTGAAGTCTGTTCTGAGCAGTCTGTTACCTTCACTCACACAGATAGTAAACATGTCCCTTCATTCTGGAATATTCCCAAAGGCCCTGAAAACTGCAGTCATCAGGCCCCTGCTAAAAAAGAGCAGTCTCGATGCTACGGTACTTAACAACTATCGTCCCATCTCAAATCTGCCATTTATGGGGAAAGTCCTTGAGAAAGTTGTCCACCTACAGCTTACTAGATTTCTTATAATCAACAACTCATTTGATATGTTTCAGTCCGGCTTTAGACCCCACCACAGCACTGAGACTGCTCTCGTTAAGGTTACAAATGATATCCGGCTGAACACTGACGCAGGCAAAGTCTCAATCTTAATCCTGTTAGATCTGAGTGCTGCCTTTGATACTGTCGACCATGAGATCCTCTTACAGAGACTACAGGACTGGGTTGGCGTCACTGGCACCGCCCTAAGTTGGTTTAGGTCTTACCTTGAAGACAGGAAGTACTTTGTGGAGATTGGAAACTGTGTCTCAGATCATATGGCTCTGACCTGTGGAGTCCCACAGGGGTCGATCCTGGGACCTCTTCTGTTCAATCTCTACATGCTGCCGTTAGCTCAGTTAATACGCAGAAACAAAGTGTCCTATCATAACTATGCAGACGACACTCAGATCTATGTCTCACTGACTGCAGGAGAACATGGACCAGTGGACTCACTCCTTCACTGTATCCAACAGATCAGTGAGTGGATGCAAAACAACTTCCTTCAGCTAAACGCAGACAAAACTGAAATGATTGTCTTTGGTCCCCAGAAACAAAGAGAGAGCGTCATCTGTCACCTACAGTCTCTCTCCCTAAAACCTTCAAACAAGGTCAGAAATCTAGGGGTAATACTGGACTCAGACTTACATTTTAATAGCCACATCAAATCAGTAACATCAGCAGCTTTTTACCATCTAAAAAACATTGCCAGGATCAAAAACATAGTGTCTAAAGCAGACTTGGAGATTCTTATCCATGCATTTGTCTCCAGTAGGTTAGACTACTGCAATGGCCTGCTCACAGGTCTGTCCAAACAGGCTGTAAAACAGCTGCAGTACATTCAAAATGCAGCAGCTCCAGTCCTGACTAGAACCAGGAAGTACGACCACATTAGTCCTGACTAGAACCAGGAAGTACGACCACATTAGTCCTGACTAGAACCAGGAAGTACGACCACATTAGTCCTGACTAGAACCAGGAAGTACGACCACATTAGTCCTGACTAGAACCAGGAAGTACGACCACATTAGTCCAGACTAGAACCAGGAAGTACGACCACATTAGTCCAGACTAGAACCAGGAAGTACGACCACATTAGTCCTGACTAGAACCAGGAAGTACGACCACATTAGTCCTGACTAGAACCAGGAAGTACGACCACATTAGTCCAGACTAGAACCAGGAAGTACGACCACATTAGTCCAGACTAGAACCAGGAAGTACGACCACATTAGTCCTGACTAGAACCAGGAAGTACGACCATATTAGTCCAGACTAGAACCAGGAAGTACGACCACATTAGTCCAGACTAGAACCAGGAAGTACGACCACATTAGTCCTGACTAGAACCAGGAAGTACGACCATATTAGTCCTGACTAGAACCAGGAAGTACGACCACATTACTCCTGACTAGAACCAGGAAGTACGACCACATTACTCCTGACTAGAACCAGGAAGTACGACCACATTACTCCTGACTAGAACCAGGAAGTACGACCACATTACTCCTGACTAGAACCAGGAAGTACGACCACATTAGTCCTGACTAGAACCAGGAAGTACGACCACATTAGTCCAGTCCTCAGGCCTCTGCACTGGCTTCCTGTGGCTCAGAGAATAGACTTTAAAACAGCTCTGCTTGTTACAAGTCTCTCCATGGCCTCGCACCAAAATATATTAGTGACATGTTAGTCCCATATGAACCAGCCCGGACTCTGAGGAGCACAGGGACTGGACTCCTGCTGGGACTCTGAGGAGCACAGGGACTGGACTCCTGCTGGGACTCTGAGGAGCACAGGGACTGGACTCCTGCTGGGACTCTGAGGAGCACAGGGACTGGACTCCTGCTGGGACTCTGAGGAGCACAGGGACTGGACTCCTGCTGGGACTGAGGAGCACAGGGACTGGACTCCTGCTGGGACTCTGAGGAGCACAGGGACTGGCCTCCTGCTGGGACTGAGGAGCACAGGGACTGGACTCCTGCTGGGACTGAGGAGCACAGGGACTGGACTCCTGCTGGGACTCTGAGGAGCACAGGGACTGGACTCCTGCTGGGACTCTGAGGAGCACAGGGACTGGCCTCCTGCTGGGACTCTGAGGAGCACAGGGACTGGACTCCTGCTGGGACTCTGAGGAGCACAGGGACTGGCCTCCTGCTGGGACTCTGAGGAGCACAGGGACTGGACTCCTGCTGGGACTCTGGAGGAGCACAGGGACTGGACTCCTGCTGGGACTCTGAGGAGCACAGGGACTGGACTCCTGTTAGTGCCCAGAGTCAGAACTAAACATGGGGAGGCTGCTTTTCAGATTCATGCTGCTAAAATCTGGAACAATCTTCCTGAAGATGTGAGACAGGCCTCCTCTCTGACAATGTTTAAAACCAGGTTAAAGACAGTTCTGTTTAGCTGTGCTACAACTGAGGGATTTTATATTTTTATCTTTCTTTTTAATGTTCTGTGATTATTTATGATTTTAATGCTTTCTTATTCTGTTCAGCACTTTGAGTTTCCTTGTGTATGAATTGTGCTATATACAGTGCCTTGCGAAAGTATTCGGCCCCCTTGAACCTTTCAACATTTCGCCACATTTCAGGCTTCAAACATAAAGATATAAAACTTACATTTTTTGTGATGGATCAACAACAAGTGGGACACAATCGTGAAGTGGAACAAAATTTATTGGATAATTTAAACTTTTTTAACAAATAAAAAACTGAAAAGTGGGGCATGCAATATTATTCGGCCCCTTTACTTTCAGTGCAGCAAACTCAGTCCAGAAGTTCAGAGAGGATCTTTGAATGATCCAATGTTGTCCTAAATGACTGATGATGATAAATAGAATGCACTTGTGTGTAATCAAGTCTCCGTATAAATGCACCTGCTCTTTGATAGTCCCAGGGTTCTGTTTAAAGCACAGAGAGAACCATGAAGACAAAGGAACACACCAGGCAGGTCCGAGATACTGTTGTGGAGAAGTTTAAAGCCGGATTTGGATACAAAAAGATTTCCCAAGCTTTAAACATCTCAAGGAGCACTGTGCAAGCAATTATATTGAAATGGAAGGAGTATCAGACCACTGCAAATCTACCAAGACCCGGCCGTCCCTCCAAACTTTCATCTCAAACAAGGAGAAGACTGATCAGAGATGCAGCCAAGAGGCCCATGATCACTCTGGATGAACTGCAGATAACTACAGCTGAGGTGGGAGAGTCTGTCCATAGGACAACAATCAGTCGTGCACTGCACAAATCTGGCCTTTATGGAAGAGTGGCAAGAAGAAAGCCATTTCTCAAAGATATCCATAAAAAGTCTGGTTTAAAGTTTGCCACAAGCCACCTGGGAGACACACCAAACATGTGGAAGAAGGTGCTCTGGTCAGATGAAACCAAAATCAAACTTTTTGGCCACAATGCAAAACGATATGTTTGGCGTAAAAGCAACACAGCTCATCACCCTGAACACACCATCCCCACTGTCAAACATGGTGGTGGCAGCATCATGCTTTGGGCCTGCTTTTCTTCTGCAGGGACAGGGAAGATGGCTAAAATTGATGGGAAGATGGATGGAGCCAAATACAGGACCATTCTGGAAGAAAACCTGTTGGAGTCTGCAAAAGACCTGAGACTGGGACGGAGATTTATCTTCAAACAGGACAATGATCCAAAACATAAAGCCAAATCTACAATGGAATGGTTCACAAATAGACGTATCCAGGTGTTAGAATGGCCAAGTCAAAGTCCAGACCTGAATCCAATCCAGAATCTGTGGAAAGAGCTGAAGACTGCTGTTCACAAACGCTCTCCATCCAACCTCACTGAGCTCCAGCTGTTTTGCAAGGAAGAATGGGCAAGAATTCCAGTCTCTCGATGTGAAAAACTGATAGAGACATATCCCAAGGGACTTGCAGCTGTAATTGCAGCAAAAGGTGGCGCTATAAAGTATTAGCACAAGGGGCCGAATAATATTGCAAGCCCCACTTTTCAGTTTTTTATTTGTTAAAAAAGTTTAAATTATCCAATAAATGTCGTTCCACTTCACGATTGTGTCCCACTTGTTGTTGATTCTTGACACAAAAAATTAAATTTTATATCTTTATGTTTGAAGCCTGAAATGTGGCGAAATGTTGAAAGGTTCAAGGGGGCCGAATACTGTAAATAAACTTGCCTTGGAGACAACCATGAGACTGATGCAGACTGATGCAGACTGATGCAGGCTGATGCAGACTGATACAGACTGATGCAGACTGATGCAGACTGATACAGACTGATACAGACTGATGCAGACTGATACAGACTGATACAGACTGATGTAGACTGATACAGACTGATACAGACTGATGCACACTGATGCAGACTGGTGCAGACTGATGCAGACTGATGCAGACTGATGCAGACTGATGCAGACTGATGCAGACTGATGCAGACTGATACAGACTGATGCAGACTGATACAGACTGATACAGACTGATGCAGACTGATGCAGACTGGTGCAGACTGATACAGACTGATGCAGACTGATGCAGACTGGTGCAGACTGATGCAGACTGATACAGACTGATGCAGACTGATGCAGACTGATGCAGACTGGTGCAGACTGATGCACACTGATGCAGACTGATGCAGACTGGTGCAGACTGATGCAGACTGATACAGACTGATACAGACTGATGCAGACTGATACAGACTGATACAGACTGATGTAGACTGATACAGACTGATACAGACTGATGCACACTGATACAGACTGATGTAGACTGATACAGACTGATACAGACTGATGCAGACTGATGCAGACTGATACAGGCTGATGCACACTGATGTAGACTGATGCAGACTGATGCAGACTGATGCAGGCTGATGCAGACTGATGCAGACTGGTGCAGACTGATGCAGACTGATGCAGACTGATACAGACTGATGCACACTGATGCAGACTGGTGCAGACTGATGCAGACTGATGCAGGCTGATGCAGACTGATGCAGACTGGTGCAGACTGATGCAGACTGATGCAGACTGATACAGGCTGATGCACACTGATGTAGACTGATGCAGACTGATGCAGACTGATGCAGACTGGTGCAGACTGATGCAGACTGATGCAGGCTGATGCAGACTGGTGCAGACTGATGCAGACTGATGCAGACTGATACAGGCTGATGCAGACTGATACAGACTGATGCACACTGATGCAGACTGGTGCAGACTGATGCAGACTGATGCAGGCTGATGCAGACTGATGCAGGCTGATGCACACTGATGTAGACTGATGCAGACTGATGCAGACTGATACAGGCTGATGCACACTGATGTAGACTGATGCAGACTGATGCAGACTGATGCAGGCTGATGCAGACTGATGCAGACTGGTGCAGACTGATGCAGACTGATGCAGACTGATACAGGCTGATGCACACTGATGTAGACTGATGCAGACTGATGCAGACTGATGCAGACTGATGCAGGCTGATGCAGACTGATGCAGACTGGTGCAGACTGATGCAGACTGATGCAGACTGATACAGGCTGATGCACACTGATGTAGACTGATGCAGACTGATGCAGACTGATGCAGACTGGTGCAGGCTGATGCAGACTGATGCAGACTGGTGCAGACTGATGCAGACTGATGCAGACTGATGCAGGCTGATGCAGACTGATACAGACTGATGCACACTGATGCAGACTGGTGCAGACTGATGCAGACTGATGCAGGCTGATGCAGACTGATGCAGACTGGTGCAGACTGATGCAGACTGATGCAGACTGATACAGGCTGATGCACACTGATGTAGACTGATGCAGACTGATGCAGACTGATGCAGACTGGTGCAGACTGATGCAGACTGATGCAGGCTGATGCAGACTGATGCAGACTGGTGCAGACTGATGCACACTGATGCAGACTGATGCAGACTGGTGCAGACTGATACAGACTGATACAGACTGATACAGACTGATGCACACTGATGCAGACTGGTGCAGACTGATACAGACTGATGCAGACTGATGCAGACTGGTGCAGACTGATGCAGACTGATGCAGACTGATACAGACTGATGCAGACTGATGCAGACTGATGCACACTGATGTAGACTGATGCAGACTGATGCAGACTGATGTAGACTGATGTAGACTGATGCAGACTGATGCAGACTGATGTAGACTGATGTAGACTGATGCAGACTGATGTATACTGATGCAGACTGATGTAGACTGATGTAGACTGATGTAGACTGATGCAGACTGATGCAGACTGATGCATACTGATGCAGACTGATGCAGACTGATGTAGACTGATGTAGACTGATGCAGACTGATGCAGACTGATGCAGGCTGATGCAGACTGATACAGACTGATGCAGACTGATGCAGGCTGATGCAGACTGATACAGACTGATGCAGGCTGATACAGACTGATGCAGACTGATGTAGACTGATGTAGACTGATGCAGACTGATGTAGACTGATGTAGACTGATGCAGACTGATGCAGACTGATGCAGGCTGATGCAGACTGATGCAGACTGATGCAGACTGATACAGACTGATACAGACTGTGATGTTCGGCTGCTTCCGTCTCGGTCGAGCGCACAGACTAAACACAAACGCTGTTTTCCTGCCGTTGCCGTGGAGACGAGAGGGGGGAGGCAATTGCCGTAGAGACCAGGGGGAAGGGGGGAGTTGGAACATGCGGTTGTCACGGAAACGGCAGCATCGTCGTCAGGAGGAAGAAGCAGACGAAGCCACGGGCAAAAGGTTCACCTCCTGAACCCGAGACGCAGCTAACTCCTTCACTAGGTCCTCGTCTCCTTCACTAAGTCCTCGTCTCCTTCACTAGTTCCTCGTCTCCTTGACTAGTCAGTCCCTCATCTCCTTCACTAGTCCCTCATCTCCTTCACTAGTCCCTCGTCTCCTTCAGTAGTCCCTTGTCTCCTTCACTAGGTCCTTATCTCCTTTAATCCTAAATGCTGAACAGGTGCCAGTGGTTATGAAGCGTCTGGGGAGGGGGAGACTCACCGCTGAACAGGTGCCAGTGGTTATGAAGCGTCTGGGGAGGGGGAGACTCACCGCTGAACAGGTGCCAGTGGTTATGGGCCTCCACAGTCTCCTGGTCTCCTCGTGGTCCTCGCTCTCCTCGGGGTCCTCGGGTGTTCTTGCGGAGGCGGATCTTAAATCCCGTGAGGAGACCGTTTTGCTCCGGGCCAGGAGGGGGCAGCCATGACACTTTTATACTCTGAAAACAAGACAACACAACCTAAAGCTGGGGTACGTAACTTTCAGACCACAACAATAGAAATCAATAGTCTTCACATAATTATATTTTTGGTCTCTGTCACATCTTTGCTGGTTCAGTCCTGGTTCAGTCCTGGTCTACAGTCCTGGTTCAGACCTGGATCAGTCCTGGTTCAGTCCTGGTTCAGGACTAGACTCACCCGGGACAGCACAACCTCCAGACTCACGTTCAGAGGAGCCGCACTTGGAACTGAAAACAGACAATTTTCATCAAATAAAATCCAGTACGTATAAACCATAAACTGTACAGACAGATAATGCAAAATACAATAACCGCTAGCTCAATGCTAACCAGCTAACTCACTAGCTCAATGCTAACTCACTAGCTCAATGCTAAGCTGCTAGTTCAATGGCATCATAGCAACGCGTCTGTCCAGTTACAGCTCGAAGCTAATGCTGCACGACACTTGCTTAAGAAAGCTGGCTCCTGTTCAAGCCGCGTCCCCCAGGTTGGGAAACACTCACCGTCAGAGAAGGTGGTGACGGACAGCGGCTCAGACCAGGCCCCGGACCCAAACTGGTTTAAGGCCTGAACCCGGACTGAGTACTGACTGAACTCCTGCAGTCCCTCCAGCGTCCACGGGGAGGCGCTCACATCCACCGTCTGAAACACACGTCCTCACATTACACCTGTGTCACACCTGTGTTACACCTGTTTACACCTGTGTTACACCTGTATCACACCTGTGTTACACCTGTGTTACACCTGTATCACACCTGTGTTACACCTGTGTCACACCTGTGTTACACCTGTGTTACACCTGTATCACACCTGTATCACACCTGTGTTACACCTGTGTTACACCTGTGTCACACCTGTGTTACACCTGTGTTACACCTGTATCACACCTGTGTTACACCTGTGTTACACCTGTGTTACACCTGTATCACACCTGTTTACACCTGTGTTACACCTGTATCACACCTGTGTTACACCTGTATCACACCTGTATCACACCTGTATCACACCTGTGTTACACCTGTGTTACACCTGTATCACACCTGTGTTACACCTGTGTCACACCTGTGTTACACCTGTGTTACACCTGTGTTACACCTGTATCACACCTGTTTACACCTGTGTTACACCTGTATCACACCTGTGTTACACCTGTATCACACCTGTGTTACACCTGTATCACACCTGTGTTACACCTGTGTTACACCTGTATCACACCTGTGTTACACCTGTGTCACACCTGTATCACACCTGTGTAACACCTGTGTTACACCTGTATCACACCTGTTTTACACCTGTATCACACCTGTGTTACACCTGTGTTACACTTGTATAACACCTGTGTTACATCTGTATACAGACAAACCTGTGTCACACCTGTGTTACACCTGTGTCACACCTGTGTCGCACCTGTATCACACCTGTGTCACACCTGTGTTATACCCAAGTTATACCTGTGTTACACCCAAGTTACACCTGTGTCACACCTGTATACAGACACACCTGTGTCACACCTGTGTTACACCTGTATATAGATACACCTGTGTTACACCTGTGTCACACCTGTATCACACCTGTGTTACACCTGTATCACACCTGTGTTACACCTGTGTCACACCTGTATATAGATACACCTGTGTTACGGCTGTATGCAGACACACCTGTGTCACACCTGTATTACGCCTGTGCCACACCTGTATTACGCCTGTGTCACACCTGTATTACGCCTGTGTCACACCTGTATTACGCCTGTGTCACACCTGTATTACGCCTGTGTCACACCTGTATTACGCCTGTATGCAGACCCACCTGGTCTCTCCCGGTCGACGCCTCAGTCCACTGGAGCCGGTACCCAGTGGGAGGCTCCACGGGGGAGGGGGGCTCCCAGGACACCAGCACTGATGTGGGGGAGAGGGGGGAGGCAGAGGGGGAGACACGGCCCGGGAGGTCCACTGCAAGAGACACACATGTAGTACACCTGCAGTACATCTGTAGTACACCTGTAGTACACCTGCAGTACATCTGTAGTACACCTGTAGTACACCTGCAGTACATCTGTAGTACAGCTGTAGTACAGCTGTAGTACACCTGTAGGTACTGCAGTAGTAGCAGCAGTAGTAGTAGTAGTAGTATTAGTAGTAGTAGTAATAGTAGTAGCAGTAGTCGTGATAGTAGTACTCACGGTCCTCTGCAGTAGTCACTTGCAGTACTGCAGTACTTTCTCCTGCTCCGTTCTCGTTGTACGCTCTGACTCTGAAGTTGTATTTTTCTTGTGGTTTTAGATTCGACACCGTGATCCGCAACGAGTCCGACTCCGACACATTCACCGAGCGCTCCCTGTACACATGTACAAGTACAAGTACTGTAGTACTGTAGTACTGCAGGACTGTGGTACTGTAGTACTGTAGTACTGCAGGACTGTGGTACTGTAGTACTGTAGGACTGTGGGACTGTAGTACTGTAGTACTGCAGGACTGTGGTACTGTAGTACTGTAGGACTGTGGGACTGTAGTACTGTAGTACTGCAGGACTGTGGTACTGTAGTACTGTAGTACTGCAGGACTGTGGTACTGTAGTACTGTAGGACTGTGGGACTGTAGTACTGTAGTACTGCAGGACTGTGGTACTGTAGTACTGTAGGACTGTGGGACTGTAGTACTGTAGTACTGCAGGACTGTGGTACTGTAGTACTGCAGGACTGTGGCACTGTAGTACTGTAGGACTGTGGGACTGTAGTACTGTAGTACTGCAGGACTGTGGTACTGTAGTACTGTAGGACTGTGGGACTGTAGTACTGTGGTACTGCAGGACTGTAGTACTGTAGTACTGTAGGACTGTGGGACTGTAGTACTGTAGGACTGTGGGACTGTAGTACTGTGGTACTGCAGGACTGTAGTACTGTAGTACTGCAGGACAGCACGGTGGCTGAGTGGATAGCACTCTCGCCTCTCAGCAAGAAGGTTCTGGGTTCAAATCCCGGTCGGAACAGGGCCTTTCTGAGTGGAGTTTGCATGTTCTCCCCGTGTCTGCGTAGGTTTCCTCCGGGTGCTCCGGTTTCCCCTATCACTAAAAACATGTCCAATAGTTCTGGCATGCGCCTCCTGTACTGGCCCCTCCCATCTCTGTGTGGAGTGAGAGACAAATGCCCATAATTAACAATTGTAAACCGCTTTGAGACTCAGATCTGCAGTGAAAAGGCGGTATATAAATAAAGATTACTTACTACTTACTAGTACTGTAGTACTGTAGTACTGCAGGACTGTGGTACTGTGGTACTGTAGTACTGTAGGACTGTGGGACTGTAGTACTGTAGTACTGTAGTACTGCAGGACTGTGGTACTGTAGTACTGCAGGACTGTAGTACTGTAGTACTGCAGGACTGTGGCACTGTAGTACTGTAGTACTGTAGTACTGCAGGACTGTAGTACTGTAGTACTGCAGGACTGTGGGACTGTAGTACTGTAGTACTGCAGCACTTTAGCATTACTGTAGTACTGTAGTATTATTGTAGTACTACAGGTACAAGTACAAATACTGTGGTAATGTACACAGTGCTTCACTATTAAAAAAACTCGGTCCAGACTCGGTCCAGACTCGGTCCAGACTCGGTCCAGACTCGGTCCAGACTCAGTCCAGAACCAAAGTGAAACTAACCACCGTGAAACCACATCAGACCCGTGAATAAACGATTCAAGACATTTATACCCCTCCCCCAAAGAGGCTGACGACCAGGACTGGACCAGGACTGGACCAGGACTGGACCCGGTCTAAAGTAGGACTAAAGCAGGTCTAAAGCAGGTCTAAAGCAGGTCTAAAGCAGGACTAAAGCAGGACTAAAGCAGGACTAAAGCAGGTCTAAAGCAGGACTAAAGCAGGACAAATGCAGGTCTAAAGCAGGACTAAAGCAGGTCTAAAGCAGGACTAAAGCAGGTCTAAAGCAGGACTAAAGCAGGACTAAAGCAGGACTAAAGCAGGTCTAAAGCAGGTAAAGCAGGTCTAAAGCAGGTCTAAAGCAGGTCTAAAGCAGGACTAAAGCAGGACAAATGCAGGTCTAAAGCAGGACTAAAGCAGGTCTAAAGCAGGACTAAAGCAGGACTAAAGCAGGACCAAAGCAGGACTAAAGCAGGACTAAAGCAGGACTAAAGCAGGTCTAAAGCAGGACTAAAGCAGGACTAATGCAGGTCTAAAGCAGGACTAAAGCAGGACTAAAGCAGGTCTAATGCAGGTCTAAAGCAGGTCTAAAGCAGGTCTAAAGCAGGACTAAAGCAGGTCTAAAGCAGGACTAAAGCAGGTCTAAAGCAGGACTAAAGCAGGACTAAAGCAGGACTAAAGCAGGTCTAAAGCAGGACTAAAGCAGGACTAAAGCAGGTCTAATGCAGGTCTAAAGCAGGTCTAAAGCAGGTCTAAAGCAGGTCTAAAGCAGGACTAAAGCAGGACTAAAGCAGGACTAAAGCAGGTCTAAAGCAGGACTAAAGCAGGTCTAAAGCAGGACTAAAGCAGGACTAAAGCAGGTCTAAAGCAGGACTAAAGCAGGACTAAAGCAGGACTAAAGCAGGTCTAAAGCAGGTCTAAAGCAGGACTAAAGCAGGACTAAAGCAGGACTAAAGCTGGACTAAAGCAGGTCTAAAGCAGGACTAAAGCAGGTCTAAAGCAGGTCTAAAGCAGGTCTAAAGCAGGTCTAAAGCAGGTCTAAAGCAGGACTAAAGCTGGACTAAAGCATGTCTAAAGCAGGACTAAAGCAGGACTAAATACGCTTAACCCACATTTGTTCTTGCTAATTCAGGTAGATTCAGGTAAATTTGCAGTGGTCCAGACTCCTTCCGTGTCTGATTAATGGAGTAAACAGTGCTCTGTGAGTTCTTCACGCAGGGGGCGCTGTCTCTGTGTCATGGTCTTGTTTCCGTGGGAACAGGTCTCACCTGTTGGCTTCCTGCTGAGCGTAGAACACTCCGTACGTCTGCACTTCTCCCTGAGGCCTGTGGGGGGCGCTCCAGCTCAGAGTGACAAAGCGTGACGACACCCTGATCGCGCTCAGGTCCCGAGGGGCCGAGGGCACGCCAGGGCTCAGGCCGGCTGGAGGGGAGAGGGGGGAGGAGTCAGTCACTGAGGGAGGGGCTTCAGGAGAGAAGGGGGAGGAGTCTGGCACTGAGGGAGGGGCTTCAGGAGAGGAGGGGGAGGAGTCTGGCACTGTGGGAGGGGCTTCAGGAGAGGAGGGGGAGGAGTCTGGCACTGTGGGAGGGGCTTCAGGAGAGGAGGGGGAGGAGTCTGGCCCTGTGGGAGGGGCTTCAGGAGAGGAGGGGGAGGAGTCTGAAGGGGAGAGAAAAAAATCCAAAACAACAACAGGCCGAGAAAATAAAAGAAATAAGAAAAGAAATAAAATAAGGAATATATACAAATTATAAAAAATAATGTTAATTTATTCATATATTTTCACAAAGAATGGAAGCATAAGAACCACACATGGTTCAGAATAAATAATATCATACAAAATAAAATGTTTTAAAAATCATAATAAATAATAAAAAAACAAACAGGAAGTGGAGGAGCAAACAGGAAGTGGAGGAGCAAACAGGAAGTGGAGGAAGTGCATCAAAGTAAAAGGAGCAGATGAAGGAAACAGGAAGAAGAAAAAAGAGCGAGTGAAGTTTTTCACAATAAAACAGTGTTAGGGTCAGTACGCCCTTATGTGCCCTGTCACCATGGAGATTGTGTGAGAAGGGGGCGGAGCTTACCTGTCTCCCTGACGATGAGCTGGGCGGTTGTCATGGCGATGCCCACCTGGTTCTCGGCCACACACTGATAGAAGCCTTCGTCCGACTTCACCAACCCCAGCACCTGCAGCGAGCTGCCCTCCTGCACAGAGACATTTATACTTTATGTATTTAATAAACACACAGTGTATGTATGTATATCTATATATATATCTATATACATAGATATATATACATATATATATATAGATATATATATATCTATATATATATAGATATATCCATTTCCATCCATTTTCTACCCTTTAATCCATTTCTGGGTCAGGGGGGTGGCAGTCAGAGATGCCACCCAAGTCTCATAGCACCAGCCCCTCACTGACCCTCTGCAGGTGGTGAGTCCACAGGAGGACGGCTGCTCTCTGAGTGTGAGCATAGCCTTGATCTTTCAGTGGGGGCTTTGGGCAAAGTGGGGTTAAGTGTCTTGCCCAAGGACACAACGAAAACAAAATTTATTGGATAATTTAAACTTTTTTAACAAATAAAAAACTGAAAAGTGGGGCATGCAATATTATTCGGCCCCTTTACTTTCAGTGCAGCAAACTCAGTCCAGAAGTTCAGTGAGGATCTTTGAATGATCCAATGTTGTCCTAAATGACTGATGATAAATAGAATGCACCTGTGTGTAATCAAGTCTCCGTATAAATGCACCTGCTCTTTGATAGTCTCAGGGTTCTGTTTAAAGCACAGAGAGAACCATGAAGACAAAGGAACACACCAGGCAGGTCCGAGATACTGTTGTGGAGAAGTTTAAAGCCGGATTTGGATACAAAAAGATTTCCCAAGCTTTAAACATCTCAAGGAGCACTGTGAAAGCAATTATATTGAAATGGAAGGAGTATCAGACCACTGCAAATCTACCAAGACCTGGCCGTTCCTCCAAACTTTCATCTCAAGCAAGGAGAAGACTGATCAGAGATGCAGCCAAGAGGCCCATGATCACTCTGGATGAACTGCAGATAACTACAGCTGAGGTGGGGATGGTGTGTTCAGGGTGATGAGCTGTGTTGCTTTTACGCCAAACATATCGTTTTGCATTGTGGCCAAAAAGTTTGATTTTGGTTTCATCTGACCAGAGCACCTTCTTCCACATGTTTGGTGTGTCTCCCAGGTGGCTTGTGGCAAACTTTAAACCAGACTTTTTATGGATATCTTTGAGAAATGGCTTTCTTCTTGCCACTCTTCCATAAAGGCCAGATTTGTGCAGTGCACGACTGATTGTTGTCCTATGGACAGACTCTCCCACCTCAGCTGTAGTTATCTGCAGTTCATCCAGAGTGATCATGGGCCTCTTGGCTGCATCTCTGATCAGTCTTCTCCTTGTTTGAGATGAAAGTTTGGAGGGACGGCCGGGTCTTGGTAGATTTGCAGTGGTCTGATACTCCTTGCATTTCAATATAATTGCTTGCACAGTGCTCCTTGAGATGTTTAAAGCTTGGGAAATCTTTTTGTATCCAAATCCGGCTTTAAACTTCTCCACAACAGTATCTCGGACCTGCCTGGTGTGTTCCTTTGTCTTCATGGTTCTCTCTGTGCTTTAAACAGAACCCTGAGACTATCAAAGAGCAGGTGCATTTATACGGAGACTTGATTACACACAGGAGCATTCTATTTATCATCATCAGTCATTTAGGACAACATTGGATCATTCAAAGATCCTCACTGAACTTCTGGACTGAGTTTGCTGCACTGAAAGTAAAGGGGCCCAATAATATTGCACGCCCCACTTTTCAGTTTTTTTATTTGTTAAAAAAGTTTAAATTATCCAATAAATTTTGTTCCACTTCACGATTGTGTCCCACTTGTTGTTGATTCATGACAAAAAATTAAAATTTGATATCTTTATGTTTGAAGCCTGAAATGTGGCGAAATTTTGAAAGGTTCAAGGGGGCCGAATAATTTCGCAAGGCACTGTATATATATATATTGCTGTAGACCCGCACCAGGCTGTGTAAGGGCTGTTTGACCAATAAGGAGAGAGATGGTGCTGGGCCACATGACCTCCACAGTCACCGGACCTGAACCCAGTCCAGATGGTTTTGGACCTGAACCCAGTCCAGGTGGTTTTGGACCTGAACCCAGTCCAGATGGTTTTGGACCTGAATCCAGTCCAGATGGTTTTGGACCTGAACCCAGTCCAGATGGTTTTGGACCTGAACCCAGTCCAGAAGGTTTTGGACCTGAACCCAGTCCAGATGGTTTTGGGGCTGGACCACAGAGTGAAGGGGCCAACAAGTGCTAAGCATCATGGGAACTCCTTCCAGACTGTTGGAGACCATTTCAGGTCCTGTTGAAGCTCATCCAGAGAATGCCAAGAGTGAAGCAGTATCAGAGCAAAATGTTCTACTTTGAAGAACCAGAATATAACACATGTTTACACTTGGTTCATACTTTTTTACTACAAACATAATTGACATGAGTTCATCATAGGTTTGAGGCCCTCAGTGTCAATCTACAGTTTTATAATCATGAAAATAAAAAACTCTTTGAATGAGAAGGTGTCCAAACTTTTGCTCTGAACTGTATATACTGTATATCATTTACATATATATATATATATATATATAATACAGTCTCTGATGCTTCGACCATGTACGATAGTTCTATGTATGTCTCTGTGTATGTATGTGTGTGTGTGTGTGTTTGTGTGTCTGTGAAGTGTGTGTGTGTTGTGTAGCAGTGTGTACCAGGATCTGGAAGTACTCTGATGGTACGATGGTCTCTCCGTTCTTGAGCCAGTGAACAGCAGGGGGCGGTGTTCCAGTCACTGCACACTCCAGCTCCAGGTCTGTGGCCTCAGGGGCCGAGGACGACTGCGGGAAGGTCAGGAAGACAGGGGGCGCTGTGGAGGGGAGAGGCGTTACCCCACACTCATCCACCCTCAAGGAAGAAGAGTTACCCCACATTCATCCACCCTCAAGGAAGAAGAGTTACCCCACATTCATCCACCCTCAAGGAAGAAGAGTTACCCCACATTCATCCACCCTCAAGGAAGAAGAGTTACCCCACACTCTTCCACCCTCAAGGAAGAAGAGTTACCCCACACTCATCCACCCTCAAGGAAGAAGAGTTACCCCACACTCATCCACCCTCAAGGAAGAAGAGTTACCCCACACTCATCCACCCTCAAGGAAGAAGAGTTACCCCACACTCATCCACCCTCAAGGAAGAAGAGTTACCCCACACTCTTCCACCCTCAAGGAAGAAGAGTTACCCCACACTCTTCCACCCTCAAGGAAGAAGAGTTACCCCACACTCATCCACCCTCAAGGAAGAAGAGTTACCCCACATTCATCCACCCTCAAGGAAGAAGAGTTACCCCACACTCTTCCACCCTCAAGGAAGAAGAGTTACCCCACACTCATCCACCCTCAAGGAAGAAGAGTTACCCCACACTCATCCACCCTCAAGGAAGAAGAGTTACCCCACACTCATCCACCCTCAAGGAAGAAGAGTTACCCCACACTCATCCACCCTCAAGGAAGAAGAGTTACCCCACACTCTTCCACCCTCAAGGAAGAAGAGTTACCCCACACTCTTACACCCTCAAGGAAGAAGAGTTACCCCACACTCATCCACCCTCAAGGAAGAAGAGTTACCCCACACTCTTCCACCCTCAAGGAAGAAGAGTTACCCCACACTCATCCACCCTCAAGGAAGAAGAGTTACCCCACACTCTTCCACCCTCAAGGAAGAAGAGTTACCCCCCACACTCTTCCACCCTCAAGGAAGAAGAGTTACCCCACACTCTTCCACCCTCAAGGAAGAAGAGTTACCCCACACTCATCCACCCTCAAGGAAGAAGAGTTACCCCACACTCTTCCACCCTCAAGGAAGAAGAGTTACCCCACACTCATCCACCCTCAAGGAAGAAGAGTTACCCCACACTCATCCACCCTCAAGGAAGAAGAGTTACCCCACACTCATCCACCCTCAAGGAAGAAGAGTTACCCCACACTCATCCACCCTCAAGGAAGAAGAGTTACCCCACACTCTTCCACCCTCAAGGAAGAAGAGTTACCCCACACTCTTCCACCCTCAAGGAAGAAGAGTTACCCCACACTCATCCACCCTCAAGGAAGAAGAGTTACCCCACATTCATCCACCCTCAAGGAAGAAGAGTTACCCCACACTCTTCCACCCTCAAGGAAGAAGAGTTACCCCACACTCATCCACCCTCAAGGAAGAAGAGTTACCCCACACTCATCCACCCTCAAGGAAGAAGAGTTACCCCACACTCATCCACCCTCAAGGAAGAAGAGTTACCCCACACTCATCCACCCTCAAGGAAGAAGAGTTACCCCACACTCTTCCACCCTCAAGGAAGAAGAGTTACCCCACACTCTTCCACCCTCAAGGAAAAAGAGTTACCCCACACTCATCCACCCTCAAGGAAGAAGAGTTACCCCACACTCTTCCACCCTCAAGGAAGAAGAGTTACCCCACAACTCATCCACCCTCAAGGAAGAAGAGTTACCCCACACTCTTCCACCCTCAAGGAAGAAGAGTTACCCCACACTCTTCCACCCTCAAGGAAGAAGAGTTACCCCACACTCTTCCACCCTCAAGGAAGAAGAGTTACCCCACACTCATCCACCCTCAAGGAAGAAGAGTTACCCCACACTCTTCCACCCTCAAGGAAGAAGAGTTACCCCACACTCATCCACCCTCAAGGAAGAAGAGTTACCCCACACTCATCCACCCTCGAGGAAGAAGAGTGACCCCACACTCATCCACCCTCAAGGAAGAAGAGTTACCCCACACTCATCCACCCTCAAGGAAGAAGAGTTACCCCACACTCTTCCACCCTCAAGGAAGAAGAGTTACCCCACATTCATCCACCCTCAAGGAAGAAGAGTTACCCCACACTCTTCCACCCTCAAGGAAGAAGAGTTACCCCACACTCATCCACCCTCAAGGAAGAAGAGTTACCCCACACTCTTCCACCCTCAAGGAAGAAGAGTTACCCCACACTCTTCCACCCTCAAGGAAGAAGAGTTACCCCACACTCATCCACCCTCAAGGAAGAAGAGTTACCCCACACTCATCCACCCTCGAGGAAGAAGAGTTACCCCACACTCATCCACCCTCGAGGAAGAAGAGTGACCCCACACTCATCCACCCTCAAGGAAGAAGAGTTACCCCACACTCATCCACCCTCAAGGAAGAAGAGTTACCCCACACTCATCCACCCTCGAGGAAGAAGAGTTACCCCACACTCATCCACCCTCAAGGAAGAAGAGTGACCCCACACTCATCCACCATTTATGGTGCGTCGAAGATAAAGCTGCTTGTTCTTTTATCTTTCATATTCACAAACATGTCTCGCCACAAGGAACATTATGACCTCTGACCTCCGACCCCTGCAGAGGGTTAGGGTTCAGTCAGAGGTCAGAGGTCAGGGGTCAGAGACATGTTTGACTCAGAACAATATGTTTTATTGTTTTAAATCTGTGGAAACATAAGGAGCTTACAGCAGCAGCGTAATCCTCCTGTAATCCACAGACCCAGACCTGCTCCAGACCCAGACCCAGACCTGCTCCAGACCCAGACCCAGACCTGCTCCAGACCCAGACCCAGACCTGCTCCAGACCCAGACCCAGACCTGCTCCAGACCCAGACCCAGACCCAGACCTGCTCCAGACCCAGACCCAGACCCAGACCTGCTCCAGACCCAGACCCAGACCTGCTCCAGACCCAGACCCAGACCTGCTCCAGACCCAGACCCAGACCCAGACCTGCTCCAGACCCAGACCCAGACCCAGACCTGCTCCAGACCCAGACCCAGACCCAGACCTGCTCCAGACCCAGACCCAGACCTGCTACAGACCCAGACCTGCTCCAGACCCAGACCAGACTAGTGCCCTGCTCGGGCCTATAGGGCTGGAAAGTCCCGTCCCAGAAGCACTTCCGGTTCATGGCTCGGATCCAAACAAACCGTCAGCTGTTGGAGGAGGCGGTTTAAGTGAATGGTGCAAAATGCTCTGCTTTGTTTTCGGCTGTAATCATCACAGTTTACGCGACACATGCTCATTCTTTAGGTTTCCCAAAGACCAACTGAAGCTGTGGGAAAAGCTATGCAGTTCTGATAAAATATTTTGTCTGATTTCAGAGACAGTTAACTTGAACATGTATTCAAGCTAACTTGTAGCTAATGCTAACCTGTAATAGTGCGCGGCCGAGCCTTTAATTGTGGCTTGTATTTTAAGATAAGAAACTTTATTGATGTCACACAGGATAAATATTGTCTCTCAAATATTTATTTATTTGAGAGATAAAGGAGGAACATATTAACACGTATAAAAAACATTTAACAAATGTTCAAATATAACAGAAAACGGACAATCATTCGTATTAAATGAATAATAACCCAACTACATCATGTTATTTTTGACAGCACAGCAAAAAGGAAAAAGGCCCAATGTGAAGCTGCAGTGAGTGTGAAGTGGACATGGAGCTGATGAACAGATAGAAAACTGATCATTCATATACATTATATGAACCAAATATATATAACCAAAGCAGCAAAGATAGCTGTAAGGGACAACATCAATTTATTTGCATAGGAATAGTGTTTCTATATTTTCTTTCTGATGCGTGATAGTGGATTAAAATACAATGAGTTTGAACCATAGACTGTATGTTTGAACTCGGCCCTGTGCCTTTCTCATCTCCCCGTCATAGAAACGTCAGCACATGGTCAGAGTCATATAAACGTCAGCACATGGTCAGAGTCATATAAACTTCAGCACATGGTCAGAGTCATATAAACTTCAGGACATGGTCAGAGTCATATAAACTTCAGGACATGGTCAGAGTCATATAAACTTCAGGACATGGTCAGAGTCATATAAACTTCAGCACATGGCCAGAGTCATAAAAACTTCAGCACATGGTCAGAGTCATAAAAACTTCAGCACATGGCCAGAGTCATATAAACTTCAGCACATGGTCAGAGTCATATAAACTTCAGCACATGGCCAGAGTCATATAAACTTCAGCACATGGTCAGAGTCATATAAACTTCAGCACATGGTCAGAGTCATAAAAACTTCAGGACATGGTCAGAGTCATGAAGCTCTTCGCGAAAGTTCACTGTGGTAGACCCGGCCACTGCTGCCAGATTTACAGCCTGCTCATCCTCTACTCATTACACCAGCAAAACGCCCACATCTAATCCACCAATAACCACCAGGACAGCAAGTTAAAAGCCGGAGACGCCCACTTTCCCGGCCTTCTGAAGTTTGCAAACTTCTGAAGCCTGCAAGGTGCATGTCGCTAACGCACCTGTTCGCAATTGCATGCGTTGTTCTGGAGGGGTCGCTTCTGCTCACGTGTTGCTCGTGCGCGTGGCCCGGCTGTCCTCAGTCTGGCTGCTCGTGGTCTGCTCCTCCTCCACGTCCCTGCACCTGCTGTGGTTCGCATATCCCCACTGCTCTCCTCCTCTGCGGGCTCTTCTGCGGGCTGCTCCGCGGGGCCCCTCCGCGGTTCTGTGCTGCTCGTTCCTCGTGGTCTGCTGCCGCGCGCAGACGGTCTGGCGGTGCCGCGTTGTCCCGTTGCTTTCCCAAGTCTCCTGGCATGTGAGTACAGTGAGGTGCCGACCGCGGACAGTTTAATCCCGGAGTCTAGGCTGCAGGCGGCTGGTTTTTGCCCTACGCACTTGACTGCAGGCGTCAGTTTTTTGCCCCGTGCTTGGTCTGCAGGCTCCGTTTTACACGTGTTGAGCTAACTGAGGGACAATGCATCTTAAATGGCATCAATCTCCAATGTCTGAGGGATATAAGAGGAGCAATGTGCATAATTCGGATTCATGTTCTGCCACTTGCAGTAAAACCACGTTGGAAATATGTGCAAAGACTACCCCATTGTGCTCCAGACGGCACACACAGAGCTCTTGCCACGGCGCCATCTTTACAGCATCAATCTCATTACTCGCAAGTCACTATTGTTAAATGATGTATTTAAATTCGTCTATCTGCAGGAGGAAGGAGGGGCCATGCATTTAAATAGCTAGGTCACTAGTATTAAATTGGGTAACTAAACTGCAGTTGTTGCATTTCGAAAGTGCAGCAGAAAGAAAAGGGGCCCAATGTGAATCTGCAATGGGTTTGAAGTGGAGCTGGAGCTAATGAACGCATGGAAAAGTGATGGTTCATGCGTATCTGCCATAACCAAAGCAGAAGATGGCTCCAGGGGACATCTGTTATTCGCATGGGAATGTTTCGGATTCGGGTTGATTTATTTCCTCAGGCTCTTAAACAACCGTGGGCATGTTCTCTGACCGCCGCTGCTGCGGTCCCTGCTGCCGTTCCTACTGATGCCTGATCCCGCTGATGCCTGTTCCCGCTGCTGCCTGTTCCTGCTGCCGCTCCTGCTGCTGCCTGTCCCTGCTGCCTGCTCCTGCTGCTCCTACTACATGTGCCGCTGCTGCTGTTCCTGCCGCTCCGCAGGCTCCCAGGCTGCACCTCTCTACGGCTCGGCTCTTTCAGACACGTATGTAACCTGGCTCACGGAGACAAGCGGCGCACGCTGGCGTGACACGTCTGTTGTTCGTATGAATCTCATTGTGGTGCTACTGCTCCTGCTAATGCTACTTCTGCTGCTTCATACTGCTACCGCTACTGCCGCTACTGCTGCTATTGCTGCCGCTGCTGCTTCATACTGCTACCGCTGCCGTGCTGCTGCTGCTTCTTTACTTTGACACCTCTCTTCACTTCGCATCTCTTTTACTGAAACACTAAACAGCTTCAACAATATTCTACTGCGGTGGCTTTGATACAGGATTATTGCTGTTATTATCTACGGATGCTGCAACTGCTGCTGCTGCTTCATACTGCTACTGCTGCTACTGCTGCTGCTTCCTACTGCTACTGCTGCTACTGCTAATGCTGCTTCTGCTGCTTCATACTGCTACCGTTGCTGCTGCTGCTACTGCTGCCGCTGCTGCTTCATGTACTTTGACATCTCTCTTCACTTCGCATCTCTTTTACTGAAACACTAAACAGCTACAACAATATTCTACTGCTCTGGCTTTGATACAGGATTATTGCTGCTATTATCTACGGATGCTGCAGCTGCTGCTGCTTCATACTGCTACTGCTGCTGCTGCTTCATACTGCTACTGCTGCTGCTGCTTCATACTGCTACTGCTACTGCTGCTGCTTCATACGGCTACTGCTGCTACTACTGCTGCTGCTGCTTCATTTACTTTGCCATCTCTCTTCACTTGCATCTCTTTTACTGAAACCCTGAACAGCTACAACAACATTCTACTGCTGTGGCTCTGATACAGAATTATTACTGTTATTTTCTAAGGACGCTGCTGCTGCTGCTGCTGCTGCTACTGCGGCTGCTGCTACTGCTGCTGCCGCGGCTTGATACAGGACTTTGCTGTTATTATCTGAGGCTACTGCTGCTGCCGCGGCTTGATACAGGACTATTGCTGTTATTATCTGAGGTTACTGCTGCTGCCGCTGCTGCTACTGCTACTGCAACCCACTCTCTCAGAAGCTTATCCTGCTTCTAATGGATGCAGCCCGGCTGAGTATGCCGCGCTGCGCCGGACTCGCACCTATGCTCCCAGGGTCGCTTCGGCGGTCGTGCTTCATCTCTCTACTTAATCTTCTGATCCATCAGATGCAGCTGGCCAAGTAGCTGCGCTGAGCCGTCAATCGGACTCCTAATCAAAGGCATCCATACCTGTATTCTTCACTCTTCTGATCGCAGGCTCTCCATCATGCTGCCCATCCTGCAGCGGCGCTGAACTCCGGCTCATCTTCCAAGTACATGTCTGCCCTCCTCGCAGCATCTTCCTGCTCTCCTTCTTGGCTTCTCTGCATAAGCGTTTCACTACTGCTCACTCAACCTTCATGCGGTCCGAGACACGGCTTTTCCCAACCTATCCTACTGTCCTGATTATCTAATCTCCAACCCAAGATTCTAAGCGTAAGGGCGCTGCAACATCAATGGCCCTCTCCGACATGTCTCTGCCCCTACAGGTCTCCGCTTCTACACGGACGCTGCCCCTTCCGTGGGTTTTGGGGGATTCTTCCAGGACCAGTGGTTTGCCGAGCGTGGCCGCTACTTTCCACCGGAGCATCTCCTCT